ATTTTGGTGATGACGGATCACCAAAAATAGCCTCCAATATTTCTCATTTAATATATAGAAGACACCTTATATAGAGTTAAGGTATTCGCCAAAAAAAAAATAGAGTTAAGGTAAAAATATCAAAAACCTATCTAAAGTTGCCTTAAAATTATTCAAAATTAACCAAATCTTATCTAACCCGAAGTAACAAAATTTAAATTATGATTTTAAATACACAGTATCTCGGATTCGGATATTATTTTATATTTATGAATTAGACTTGTGTATGTATTATCCAATCGTTTATCCGAAATGAATATGCCTAATGTTAATTCATAAAAAAAATTTGAGAAATGTCACTTTTGAAATGTCACTTTTCAAAAATATTACATTTTCAAAATATTTGCAAAAATGCTACTTTTTTCAAAATTATTTATTCAATATATTATTTATGTTTGGGTTAACTATGTTGTATTAGGGTTTAGTTTATAGTTTGTTAGGGGACAAAATAATTTTTAAGATTTAGAATTTTAAGATTTAAGTTTTTAAAAATTCATAATTAGTGGTATTTTTGCAATTGTTTAACAAATGGCTAATTAGTAAACAAGATTTAATTAAAATGAAAAATTTACCCGTAGCTACATAGCAAGAAGTGAAAGATCCAGCAATGTTCATGAATCCCATCGCCATCATCTCTTTGTTCCCATCCAAACGATAACCTTTGATTGTCGCAAACGATCTCCCCACTGCGATTGCTTCCTGTATTATTATTATTTAAAGGTTTTTTTTTTTAAAAGGGAATAATTAATGCATTTGTGAGTTATTATTTAAAGTTAATCAATAAATTAACCAGTGATTAGTTTTGACTATAAGCATAGATAAGAGAATGGAATATTACTAACCGAGAGGGCAATTATTGCAGAAATAAGACCAATTTTGACGATGTGACCAAGATGTGGACTGTTGAATTGTAATTGGTTAACCGAAGGTCGGTTAAATCCTGGTTTAATGTGTTTAACAATCTTAACCCCTCGTGTCTCAGCATTTGTTAAATACACGATTAGTGTTGCTAATATCACTGATATTAACGGTGCCATCGCCGGAATCCAAAACAATTTCTTGTTTCTTTTCCCCTATTAATATTAAAATTTTCAATAAATAAAAAAAATATAGAACTTGTGTGATGTGAATATTTTAAGTGTAGGAAAATTTTGGTTTTACTTACAATAAATCTGGCTAAGAGTATGAAGATGAGGAATGAGCTACCAATGACAAAGTTGAGAGGTTGCCACTGAACAAAAAATTGTTCAATATTCCTCACTTTAAATTTTAACAAGAAAAAAAAATGAGAAGGAAAAAACCGGTGCGTACCGGATGGTGAAGGGAGTGGAAAACCGAAGATAAAACCGAAACAACATCGGTCTGGTTGGTAAAATGAGACAAACCAAATAAACCTTTGAGTTGTTGTAAACCAATGACAATAGCAGCACCAGCCATGAACCCAACTAGTGCAGCATGTGACAGAAAATCCACCAAAAACCCTAACCTGATAACATTATAATAAACAATTATTTTAAATAAATCAATACACTTTTGTCGTCGTCTTCGGTCCAAAAATTAATATAATTTGAATTTTTATAACGAATCTCAATGCAATTATTTGCCTGAAGAGTCCAAATATGGCTTGAAACGCTCCGGCAAAAAACGTGACCGTGAAGACGATTTTCCGGTAAGCAATTGGGTCAGTGACCGGATCTTGAAGTTCATGAACCATTGAAGAAAGCAACAATGAAACTACAGCTACAGGACCAATGGCTAACTCTCTAGAACTTCCCATAGTCGAATATATCAAGGGTGGTACTACACTTGTATCTGTTATAAAATTTTGATTAAAAATTAGCTGCAAAATTGTAAGGAACTATACAGATTTTTTAAGTTGGGGTTTTGGACTTACATAGACCGTATTCTGGATCAAGTCCAGCCAAATTAGCATATCCTATACTCTGCCAAAATGATATTGAAAATGTAACTAAGAAATTACCAACATTTGATTATATTATTTATATTGACTTATATCGATTATAGTTCACCTGAGGAATGCAAAGGCTAGCGAGAGTGAGACCAGCCATTAAATCTTTCTTGAACATGTTGAGTTTGTATTGTCTTCCCCAATTAAGTATAGGGAAAACCGATTTAAGACAAGAGTAAACCGGGTTTGATGATGAGTTCTTGGTCTTGTTCTTCCTCATATAATTCTTCTTGGAAAACACATTTGTTCTTACGTACTTAACAAGCTCTTGCCACATGGTTGGTGGCTCCGGCGTATTTAT